GTGTTTTACACTGTTTGCAAGGGGATAAATGAAAAGTTGGGAAATTTGGTGGACTTTAGAGATAATTTGGGGAGGATTGTGGTGGGTTTTGGGTGGATTTCGTTGCCTAATTGTTGTGGGGTTTTGGGATTTGGGAGTTTTGGTGTTGAGGGTGAGTTACTGGGGAAAAATGGGTCTTTGTTGGTTCAGGCTTTAGTGGATTCTGAAGGAAGATTTCTTGATATTTCTGCTGGTTGGCCTAGTACGGTGAGGCCCGAATCAGTTTTACATCAAAGTAAGTTGTTTTCAGGTGTGGAAGAGTCTAGGGAGTTCTTGAATGGACCTGCTTATGAGTTGGGTGATGGTAATTTGATTCCTCAGTATATATTGGGGGATTCTTGTTTTCCTCTATTGCCTTGGCTTATAACACCTTATATGAGAAGTAATGAAGAGGATAGCTTTGGTTCAGCTGAGAAGGAGTTTAATGCTGTGCATAGTCGCGCAATGGGGCTGGTTGGGGCTGCTTTGGGTAGTGTTAAAGCCCGGTGGCAGCTTTTGGGTAAGAAATGGAAGGAGGAGTGTGTTGAGTTTTTTCCTTTTGTGATTGTGACAGGGTGTTTGTTGCATAACTTTCTGATAAAGTATAGCGAGCCGATGCCGGATGATGATGTGGTGTGCTTGAAGGAAGAGGAGCTTCCGGTTTATGAAGGAGAGGTAGATGATAATGGGCGCAGGATTAGAGATACGCTCGCTGAGCATTTGAGTCGGGTGAGTTTGAGAAGATGAGTGCTGAAATTATGCTTGTGGTTGAGTTGTAGTCTTTCTTCTGCTTTTGTTTGAATGCTTCATGGTATATAGTAGTTAACTGGCTTCACTTTGTTTAAATTCTAATTTTGAAATGCTTTGCTTTAACTGCTTCATATGTTTTTAATTTTGCATTCTTAAATGAGAGTTTGATATCTATTGGCACAATCTTGCACTGTGGAGGAAAGAAACAATGCTAACATGATGGAATTAGTAGTCAAACATTGGATGTAAAGTTCACTTGTTAAAACCTAAAAGCGATTCGTGTTTGTATTGCGTGAGTCTGAGGTTGGACACCGTAGCTTATCTGGCCATCACAAGATGGTAGCAAGTGCCGATTCATATCAATTAAACCATGCTCTATATACTATGAGTGTGCATCACAGAGTTTAAATCAGTTAACGCGAGGTATTTTCCCAGTTAAGTTGAGAAAAGCTGAATCAGAGGTCTCACAGAATGATCTTCTTCTTTGTTTATTTTGTGTGTGTGGGTGTCAGTTTGATAGGAAACAAAAAGCATGTCATTTCCCTTTTATAATTTTTGCTGGATATGCTAGGTCTGCCCTGCTGTTGGACTTGCATGTGACAACGGTTGTTCGGGAATTGATTTTATATGACTTACAATATTTTCTGGCCTCTTTCACCTCATAACTTATTCCTCCAGTTTGTTTCTCCCTCACTTTTAATCCAATGCTACTATAAAGCTCGAATCCCTATATATTTTATTTTTCAGTTGTTTGGGGAGTTAAAAGAGGGATGGGATTATATTAAGAGGCTGAAGGCTATTCTAATATGAGCTCTGATTACATGAGCTCTGATTACAAACCCCCGTTATGAACTTAAAATAGAAACCAACTTGTGTTTGGATAAAATCCAAAAGAGAGAGCACTATTGCAAGAACCCTTTCTTGACATGTTTGAGATTTCAATTGCTGCGATATTAATCTGGGAAACAGTGGGCTGTGGGTATTTCAAGTCACAAAGTCTTTAAAGAAAGTGCTTCTTGTTTTGCATTTTTCTTTGACAATAGATTTGGAAACACTCCACTTTAAGCAAGGAGATGGGACTACTTGTTGGTCAATTTGGTGGTAGAGAAATTAATGAAAAGCTCCACCATCTATTACCCAGGTCAAGTGTTGGATTTTGGATGGGATGTTAGTCTTCTTAAGGGGAGTAATCGAGCTGAGTCGAGCTTTGCCTAGCTTGAGTTCTGGACTTGGCTCGACATGAACAGTAAGAGCTTGAACTCGACAGAGCTTAAGATGTTTAGCTCGAGCTCGACAAGAATATGGGGGATCGAGCTTGGGCCGAGCTTGATTTTGAATAAAAATATATGAAAATGAAAACAATCAAAACAACTCCTAGGCCCTAGCCATAAATTTTACACCAATCGAAATCCTCATAAACAAATCAAAAGAAATCTCCAAAACATTTACAGCATACAAAACCCATAAACAAATCAATTACATCATTAGATCGTTATGGTCAAGGTACAACTCTAGGAGGTGCACCAATTGACACAGACCTGGAATATAGAACATCTTATTAAATATTCAGAATGAATAAAGAGCAAACTATCTAATCAAGTTTCTTAATACATAATTGACATGATGTTTAATCCATAATTTAACCCATATATATAATTTTTATTTTCAAAACTAAAGGAAACAATAAAATATGTGAAATGCTTGATTGAAATAGGTTAAAATATTTTCGAAACTGTTTTGGGTAAACTTCTAGAAAGTAAAATAAGAAATGTAAAAAGTATTTTGTTAGTGAATTTTAAGATATAACAAATTTTTTTAATTATATTTAATTTTTGAAATTTTGTTCACATCAAAATCCAGGGGTAACCTTTTAATCTAACGCTTTTATAGATGGCAGCGTTGCTTGATACAAAGAACTAAAATTTGTTTTGTGGTAGCTTGAGGGAAGACAAGTCTGACAATCTCATTGTGGCTCACGTCCAGCACTTCTAAGTTGTTCGAAGAGCCTAGTATTGGGAAGAGTTAAAAGAAAAAAAATTCCTAAATCAAGAATTCATGCAGACTAAATTAAGTAGCTCAATGAATTTATTAGAAAGCTATTAATTTGAATTAGGTTGCATCCAATATCCAGTCAATCAAGCTATTTGAATTATTTAACTAAACCACTATTCGGTGGTCTAATAGTAAAAGAGTAAAGAAAGATTTAAGTTTATATGGTTTTTCGAATTTGAGTCTCCACCACTCCTAATAAGGGTGATCATTAAAACTCTTATCCGACCGATAATTCTAAAGTCTTAGAGGTGAACATTGAAGAGAAAAATTGTTTATGAAAATATATTATTTCCATCAATTAAGTAAATTAGTAACAATATTTTTATTTTCATATTTTTTTATATAATATATTGAATTTATATGGATTATGTTTATTTTTGAAACCATGAAAATACTACGTTGAGTAACTAAAAATCTCTTTAAATATATGTCAACAAAGTATCCATTTCTTGGAATGTAGTAACAGTTTCAAACTCACTACTTATAGTTGAAATTAGCATCAACTGTCATACTCCATTGTTTCCCACGGCATTGAAATGATAATATTTATAATATCTTCTAAGGTACGTACTAATATTGAAAATTTTAAGCCTTTATGCATTATGAATTGAGGCAATGGTTTTATTTTAGAATTTTATATTAAGTTATCAATTTATGATAATGGTAAGCAAAAAGATCTCACATATTATCTTGATTTATGATTCTAATGTGCTTTTATTTTTACTAACCATTTTAGATGATGTTAATAAGTGTGTGTGTAAGTATGTGTGTAATAAGAGAGGGTCTTGACCATTCAACTGATTGCCATGTTGATTGGCCATCTCCATGTAGGTTGGCTACCATAATTTCCCACATGTATAAACTCCTCAATCTTCTACACCTTCTCTGTGGTCTAGTCCCCCATTTGGTATCAATTATTAATTATTTTAAAAAACTGAAGTTGTTAGGTAAACGGGTTACCCAAACCTACTACAAATTCATTACAAACCCATTGGATTTGACCCAAATCAGCCCAATCTTTATTATAGAGTTGGGTTCACCCAACCCAAATGAATTGAGGCAGGATCTCCACTGTTTTTTGTTGCCATTCCCTTCAATTATTCAAGGAGTGAAGCTATTGACATTTGACACGGAATGAGAGACGAGCAGCTCGCAAGCTAATCGAGCTCGGCTTGTCAAAAGCTCACACTCGACTGGCAGCCATTGAGCTCGAGCTCGAGTAAACCTCAAGACTCATGAGCTCAAGCTCAAACACTAATATTTAGGCTCAAACTAGAGCTCGTAACTGTTCATCACGAACCAAGCTTGAGTACCAAGATACTTAGTTCGGCTCGGCTCGTATACACGACACCCCACAGCCCCCAAAAGTCTCTTATTTAAGTTCATTAGTGGGGTGCAAATAGATCTACTCTTATTAATTCTTAGATAAAATATTTTGAAAGAGATTTAATAAGAACAACATCTCCCAGACTCGATCCTTTTTCATTCTATTTAAAGAAACATTGTCAAGCAACAACAGAAATAACGAAAACTACCCAACTATCCAATCATTCAAGTGCAAGATAAGATTAGATCCTAACCCCAAGGCAATTATTAAAAAAAAAAAAAAAAAAAAAAAAAACTCAACCACTCTACTTGAAATAGAAAAAAATGTGAACCTGATAATCTATAAAGACATAAAAAGAATAAACAATAGAGCTTTCCCCAACCAAGAATCCTCTCAAAACAAAAGCATAAATTTTGTTAATTCCAAAATGTTACAATAAACTGAAAAAGAGAATCTTGAGATATAACTTTCCACGGGCTTTAAAAAGTCATTCTCACAACCCCCATTTGCTTGAATGAATTTTAAAATGGGTGTAGAGATTGTTTCTATGGGTGTATATAGCCTCACTCTTTTCCTTTTTTGTTTTATCACAAATAAGGCAGAATAATGTAAGAAAAAAATCTCAAAAAAGCTCACAATACCTTGTGCTGGATGAGAAGGCAAGTCACTCTCATGACCCAAATTTATATAAACTTTTGCTGTTTCATTTATATAAAGAATTTATTCTAAATTATTGTAAAAACATCAATCTATGTCGATAATTCATAAGGGTTTTGTTTTTTAATAACTAACAATAAAATAAATGGCAAGAAATCTACTCAATTATCCTTGTCATTACGATGACAACTATCACTTAGTATCACCGTACCTTTGTAGTTGATGTTTTGCCCTTGGTTTGCATAAACTTTTGCATTGTCCTCCTTAAACGTAGGAAAATATATATCAATTTTTCCTTTCCTAGTAGCTAGTTCCTACTACAATCCAACCTTTCAACAGTTTATAGTCTAAACACAGTTATCAACTTACTGGCTTGCCTCCCAGTGCTGCTATGTTTGAGGTCGACAATGCTTGCGCTCTCCAATTTCAAGCATTCTTGACACGAGTTGAAGCTCAATGAAGTTCCATCTCCAGTGCAACCTTTCTGATGCCAGAACTACATGTCACAGATGACTATAGAAGAGAGTAGAGATCAGAAGCTCCACTGATATTGTCTTTAACATGCTGCAGGTAATCCAAAGCTCTCTCTGTAATAATTTCACCCGGTATCATCACTGGAATCCCAGTGGGTACGGACATATAATCTCCCCACATATCTTCCCAAGGCTCTCTCCGATTCTCATTTCCTTTTCCTTGCAAAGAAAGCTTCTCTTGGGTTCAAACTTATATAATATCAGCAAACGGTGCCAAACCATGCTCTACCCTCTTCTCCACCTTCTCAACAGACAAGGAAGTTGCTGATACTGTTGTAGCCCTGACAAGCCTGGAATGGCTTCCGACAAGTTCCAAGGTTAATTGCAAAGGTAATGGATTGGGTCCCAACATTCACAACGACCATCTGATCCCCATATAAAATTTCATCTGCTTCATACCCGATAAGCCAAGCTGCCTAAAACCAAAAGTGAGACGCAAGGGATCCATCACAGGAAATTAGGAAGCTGATGACTCGAGCTTGAAATACCAGGGATGTTTTTACATGATTTTGGTTTCACACGCCAACTCCATTGCTTTGTTGAAATGGTTTCTGGATTTTCATTAAGTTGGGCTCTAGCAGCATCTAATGATGCTAACAGATAACTAGGGCTTGTACTTTGAAGGGTTTGAAGGCACCTACATATCCTTTCTCTCTATCTAATATCCCCTACATGTGTAACATAGATGACTGCGTAAGAGAGCATAAGACTTTGTGAGTGATTGTACAGCAAGATCAGCACCCTGCTGAAGGGCAGAAAAAGGCATAGGGGAGTAAATCCGAAATGTGCTCCATGAGCCTCATCAACATTAAAGGAATTCCATGATAATGACATAGCTGAGATATCTCATTCAAGTTACTGCATATACCATGATAGTGGGGGGAAGTGACAACCCGCAGATGCTTTTTGCTCTTTCTTTAATTCCTTGTTGCTTTCTCTACCTGTAATAACATCAATCTAATCAACTGTGAGTTTTCTCTATTAAATCTAAAAATGTTTATGTGCAGTTTGATAAATAGAACTCTTTGATGATCATTACATTAAATTTCCAAAATTCTTTGTTTCTGGTGAGAAACTGTTTCAAAAAGGGAAAACTTAATAACAGTAGACCGGTTTAACAGACTAATAGATGCACCAACTCTTAAAATCAGTTTCTAGACTTGCCTGTGATGGAATGACCCCCCCAGCTGGTCCCAATCACTACATACTCAGGATATACTTAGGTATTGCCCTGACAACACCATAGGCAAATGGCTGATACATGAGAATTTGAGAGAATCAAATATTCTCCGGGTGAGCAAGTTGCCATTACTGCTGCTTGGATACCGCAAGTAGTACCTCCCCCAAAACCATGTCCTGATGCTCCAAAGACTGGCAGCTTGCTTTTGTGCCTCTAAAATTGGTCCATCTGGTGAAAAGAGGTGTCAACGCAGGGAGCTCAGGTAAATCATGAATAAATGGTCTTACACCAATGACTGTCAACGAAGTGGTGCAGCGCGTCCTCTGTTATCCCAGGAAAGTGAAAACTTGCCACTCTTGCTTGCTGAAGCTTTCAGTGCACTAACTAATGGAGAAGGCTTCTGGCTGCACAATCTGAGAGTTGGACACAAGAATTTTATCCTCCATACACGACTTGGAAATTTCTGTCCACATCTTCTTCTTGCTTCGTCTCTGGCTCCAAGAATCCCCTTTCCTGTTACGTTTTTCCAAAATTAGCAGATGCACATTTGTTGTACGTGCTGACAATGCCATAAGGCTTCATTTTACTTCGGGTTTCATGTGTTAAGGAAAGGCGATGCGGCACACATTCACCAATGTGACAATACTAGCATTAGCACCTATAATATTAGTCATCTTAACAGCCTTCTTATCATTAACCAATAACAACTTGATAAAAAGAAATCCCTAAATCCCCTACCGAATTACTTGATAAACTAAAGATTTAGCATTTAATCAAATCGAATTAACCACATGATTTAAACGCCAAAAACAAAAGTTGAAAATAATCAAACCCTCCATTCTAACACTAACACATGACTTCAAATCAATCAAACAAAAAAATCATCTAATTCTATTTTATCACACATCAATCATACGAAATATATTCACAACCCAAAAATCTACTAAAACAAGGCAACGACATCGATCTACACATGATTAAAAAAAAAAGAATAATATCGAATAATAAATAATTACTTTAGCGCCTGAGAGCTTCTTGGGATTTTTCAAGGGTGAAATTATTCTTTTGTGTTTAATGAGTCCATCATTTTCACAGTACGACGAGAGGCCTAGAAGAAGAAGTTATCTGACTCAGCTTTGACGAAATGAAGCTCCAACACAAGTCCTACAGCTGTATTGTAGAGCCATGTTTAAGATAGTCTCTCACTCGCCAGTTCAAAATGTTGTTTCGAGTTCGAATAGAGATGAGAAGAGAAGTGTCTACATTTGTAGAGGCACACCGCTCCACTCTGCTTTAAAGGGCATTGATTTTTACCAAGATTGTGCGTGAAATGATCTTTAGTGTATTACCTTCCACCCCTAAAGTTTGAGTTTTTATCACCCCCAAATATAAATAAATTTTCTCAGTACCCTCCCATTTCGAAATTGTCACATGTCTTTCACGGTCTTGTACCCTTAATAAGGCTCTATATAATGGTAAAAAAAAAAAAAAAAACAAATTAAATGTTATCCCCTTAAATATTATATTAATGTTTTATAAAATGACGGACTCCTTAGTGAAGAGAGTATAACAAAAAAATAATAATTAAAAAGAGAGACAAAGGTGATAATAAGATGTTGTTAGCAATGCACGATCACTAGGTGGCTCATTTAATATTATTCTGAGTAGTATTTAATTTTGTTTAATGATGCCAACTTTGTTAATGCAACGTTTTAGGTTTATTTTTATTGGTTTAAGTCTTAATAATCAATCTTTTATATTCATTTTATAAAGTAGATTGAGTTTCGTTATACATCACTTGGTCCATTGATTATTTGATTCTTTCATTAAATTATTTTTTATTAATTTTAGTTTAAATTTATTAAAAGAGCATAAAAATGATGATATTTTTTCATTTATTTCTTTTTTTAAGATTTAACAAGTCACTCAATGTCATTTTCTAGGCAAAAAGTCTCACTTTCTCAAATCCCAAGTTCCTTCTGAGAGAGCTAGCCACTAGCCACCATCGCGCTGGGCCATTGGCTTAGTGCCTTCTCTTTATACACACCATGTCTAATCACTCCAAACAGATTTTAATCAAAATTCTGCTTTTACCAGCAAACCTCCCCTCAAATTTCATCACCCAATCCAATAAAATCTAACTTAAAAAATTAGCATCTCATTATCTAACCTTCAAATTTATAGCAATCTATATATCTAACTCCAAATCTAATACCTAATTTCATTAAATCTAAAATCTTAAAAAAAAAATCCAAAAACAAGAAAAGAAACTATGTGCGCATGGAGGTTGTTGGCAACCAATTTGGCCGCACGTTTGGGCTCCATGTGACGGCCTAATTGGCACTGCAGGCTCTAGATAAAGGAAGAGAACGAGGGAGAAACCAAAAGAAAATGAATATATAGGGGTGTGTAAAAGAATTGTCAAAATCAGAATCGAGGTATCCGAGTCTAGTTTAGTTTTTTTATCAACCAGCCCTCAAAAGGGTTTTGTTTCTAAAAATCAGACACGACTGTGTGTCTTGGGTCGTGGTTTTGCTCCATCACCTCAGAACGAATGAACCCTGAATCGGGACTAATTGAAATATTATAAAATGATGAAACCAGAGGACCTGAAATAGGACTAAATTAAATGTTATAAAATATAGACCATTTAAAATTTTTATTCAATAAAATTTACCTGATTTCTTCTAGAATTTTTTTCTTGTTTAAAATTATTTGAATCAAGCACTAGTAATGGAATGATTTCCAATGTCAACTGTTGTTGTTATGAGAGAAGGAAAATAAACTTTCTATTTCATACTATAGGGAAGGTTATATTTCAAAGTCTAATTAACCGTCTAATTTGAAATACAAGAACCTCAACCTCAATCCCCATCATATCTTCGAAACACATGAGGCTTAAAAGTTGTTCCTCTTCTAGGAGTTCAATTTCAGTAACACCCTTTCTTTAATTTAAGAGAAACCCAAATCTTCATTTTCATACAAAAATCAATTCATAAACCTAAACAAACAACAAAACATAAAAATCAATTTGGCTATTTTTTTCTTTTTATCAAAAAATCAGCAAAGCATTAAAAAAATAATCGACACAATCCTCTTTTGATAATGCGGAACGAGAAGGAAAATGTGCTAATATTTTGTTCAACCAGAAACAATGAGAACAAAAAATGTGTACACATTCACGATATTACAACAGTGCAAACAATGAATGAATTACAATTATGTAAAATTAAAAAATATCACAAAGTTCAAATTGACAATAAGACTTTACATGAGCAACTACTGACCTCACTTCAAGACGTGATTCGTAGCACTCCTCATCATAACATTTCTCGTACTTTTTTAGGCAGAACAATGTGAACACGCGCTGGAAACTTTTTTTTTTTTTTAATTAGATATTAGAAAAATTTGTAATGCCATGTATTTAATTGGAATTTTTTTTTTTTTAACTTTAGTGAAATAATACAATTTTAATGTACTTTATTTGTATTTTGATATAATACGATTATGAAGTTTTTTATGCATTCTAATATTTATATGTTTTTATTAATCTTTTGGCATTATTAAAATCTAGGAAATTACAGCAATAGTTCGGCAACAATTGAAAGTTAAATGATTACAAAAGTCCACAAAAGTGGCCGTCAATATGGTTTAGAATCCTAATATATCTATAAGAGTTAAAAATTGAATGTTTTAATGGTTTGGGCCTAGAACAAGTAAAAGTAACGTTTGGGTCTGGGTTTTGCTACTTAGACCCACCCACTAAGCTAACAGATTTGGTTCATTTTAAAAAGATTTAGTAGGACACAAAATTATTTCAACATAATCTATTCTTGGGTCTAAGTGCATTAACCATTTTGAGTAATCCTACAGTCACCAAAGCAGTACATCGAATTTATGCACTGAATGACATAGTAAAATCTTGACCGTTGATTAATTTTAACTTAATATTAATCGACGGTCATGATTTTGTCACATCATTCGATGTATAACCTTCGGTAGCTGTATCTTTTCCGAA